ATTCAGTATTCAGTTGGTCCAAACATTCTAATGTGGTGATTTCGTATAGACATGAAAATGGTTAAAACAAAAATTGAAACCAGATGTTCGCGAAGTTTGTTTACAATTAGCAAATGAATTACAGAATATTCTGGTGAATCAGAAAAGAAAAAAAAAAAACGTCGTAGGTGGTCAGGTCCTGGATATTGCGAAGAAATAAACGGGGTGCTAGTGAAACTATATTAAAAGAATTAATTAACTTAACTTGTAAACTGCACAAATCACGAAAATGTAGTTCTCACGCTTCAGTTTCTATTCATTATTCGATAATGATCAGTCAAAATGAAAAAAAGTAGAACTGGTTTTCACTTTAACTGAAAGTACGAATATACTGATCATTTAACATGAAAATGTGTTCTGACGTTCATTGTTTGTTCAGTATCACTGAATCAGTCAGACTGCGTCAGCGAAACTGACAAGTGAGAACCCGCCTTTAGTGAGATTCGAGGTGAATTCGGTCGTTTGTCGATATTGGATGGGCTTAAAAATGACTGAAACTAACAAAACTGGTTGAGTTTGACTTAATTTTTTTATACTCATAGTTCTAGCCTATGGTTCTAGCCTTGTTTTAGCAGAAATTCTATCCTAACCTCAACTAATGTCGAAAAACGACGAACAACTCAGGGTCTCACAATGAAGAATTTGTGACAAAATTATTTGTGAAAATTTGTTGAAAATCGCTTGTTCTTTATCCCTAAACTCATTTTCGTGTTTAATCTATTCAAACAGAAATCCTATTTTTGGGTTTAAATTGTGATTTTCTGGAATGTGTGGTGTTAGAAATTATACCTGTATCCTGTGTGCTAACTTTGATGTAAACTGTTGCTGCTAGACATAAACTGCTAGACTCCATAAAGGGTAGTATAATCTGGTATAATACCATACGATCGAAAAAAACGGCGCCAGAGGTGGCTTGGAAATGAAGATTGCTGTTATTTTGTACGTAAAATTATATGGGGAATGTCATCGATCGTAATTTTCAAGCCAATTGAACGCCGTTTTTTTTTCAATGGTACAGTATAAATTGAAAGCTCTTAACTAATACAAATAAACTTCTAAATTTTGACGCAAAATTCATTGACATAATATGTAGGTATATTTTAGAGCTGTTAATAAAAATATCCAATGAATAACGTCAAAATGTGGCTAAATAAAACTAAATCGCGAACGTTTTTACTATAAACTAAGGATGAAGTAAGTATTGTCAAATAACAGTCCTCATATAATGTCCTAAAAATATTCTATAATGCTCCCAACATCATCGTTGTATTATCCTAGAAATATCCCAAATAATCGTAAAAAGCTTGCCTAGGGATGTCTTGAAGATGACTTTTTTTGTCCCACTTACTATATTACTATATCCTTGGTGGATATCCTCAAGATATCTATAGGATTGTGTTGTGTTATATGGGATAGGTATCTCGAAAACTAATGGAGATAGAGAGTCGGTTAAATGGGGAAAGAATTGCAGTTTTGTGGGGTCATAAATATGCGCCTTTCAGATTTTTGGAAAAATTCATGGCTTAATAGATATTTCGAAAAAAAACAAATTTCGGCTATTTTAAAAATGGTCCTTAATTCCATTATAATCTATTTTAGACAAAAAGTTTTCAGAAAAAAGTTATAGATAATCACATTTTTAATGAGATTTTTGTGTTCTCCGTTTTTTTCTAAAGTCTGTCATTTTTGACATATGACACAAACTTATCTTTTTTTAAATGGAAACCATAGTTGGCCATGACTTCACAAGAAGCGTCATTTTCTAAGCTTTTCAGCGATATAAGCTAATGTTTTTTTCGAAAAATGATTGAGTTATAGCCAATTCTTATAATTTTTAAAAAAATTCACTTAGTTAGCCGTGGAAACAAGTTCAATCGTCGTTGCTCTCAGAAATACCAAACTGTCATATCCAAACTTGTAAATTAAAATAACTATAAATTGTAAATATTGTTACGTTTTTCGTCGGTTCCGTGTGGATAGAAAGTCACAATTTATTTAAACACTATTTTGTTTACTACCACTAATTAACAAAAACAATAACGATAAAAGATTTATAGAACTATTTACAAACGATTTATAACTAAGAATTTATTTTGAATTTTTAGCGCGTCAACTGCACTGGTAATTTATAACTGCCCTATCTAGGCCACAGCCGCCGGCTTTTATACCGACCGCTAAAGGTCTCTAGAATAGTCCATAGATCGTTAGGTGCATAGAGAAAGCATAAATTTAGAGACTCGCGACTTTCATTATGTCACTCCGCCCCCCCCCCAATATAAAAGAAATTTAAAAATTATTTATATCATAATTATTCAAACTCAGGGATAGGAAGAGGTGGACCAATTTCATGGGTCTCCTCGATCACCTGACCTATGCATTTTAGATTTTTTTATGGGGTATATATTTTGAACATTTTCTAAAATAACTTAAAGTGTATGTAGTGATATTATTTTTTTAACTTTTAGTTTGTTAATGTAAATTGTAAACAACCGTTTAATAAAATATTCTGTCTTTATATAAGTTATAAATTATAATAATTAAATAAATAACAGAATAAGAATACCATACCTGCAAACTAAGTGAAATTAGCCAAGAAAAATAAGAATTGGCTATAACTCAGTAATTTTTCGAGAAAAAAAACCTATTATAACTTATATCGCTGAAAAGCTTAAAAATGACGCTGTTTATGAAGTCATAGCCAATTGTGGTTTTGATTTAAAAAAACAAGTTTGTGTCATATTTCAAAAATCAAAGGCTTTAGAAAAAAACGGAGAACGCAATCTCATTAAAGATGGGATTATCTATAACTTTTATCTGAAAACTTTTTGTCTAAAGTAGATTATAATGGAATTAGGGACCATTTTTAAAATAGCCGAAATTTGTTTTTTTATGAGCACACAAAACTGCAATTCTTTCCGCATTTAACCGACTCTCTATCTCCAGCAGTTTCCGAGACACCTATAGGGAACATCGTAGAAAACACACCCATATAGGAACATATATTTATATCCTGCTATAACAGCAAATAATAAAAAATTGAGATTTTAAATGCATTTCTTTATGGCGCACTTTCCAAAGAGATATACAGGGTTGTTCACCACATACGACACGGAGTATTGTAGCTAAACGATTAGATTTTTACAAATTGTAAGTGTTGGGTTCATTGAAGGACTATTAGAGCTACAATATGAAAATATTTTTACAAGATACAGAGTGTCCCAAATAAGTAAAAAATATTATAGTTGTATTTTTATAAATAGAACACCTTGTATATTATTCTATTTTTGGATTCTACGATTGAAATAAAGGTAAATTTGATTAAGGTTTATAACACTTTAACCTTACGGTTTTTGAAATATTTTCAATTTTATGAAATTGCAGTAAAAAATTTAAGGCTTTATTTCTCCAAGAGTATCAAAGTTTTTAATATTATATATTTACTGAAGATTATTTATTGATCAGATATTGTGTTGCAGTAATAAAAACTTTACTACATTATACAGAGTGTCCAAAAATTTATATTAAATAATTACTAGCTTTAAACGGCAATAACTTGTTTAATTTAAATGGAACACCCTATATATTTGAGGTGAATCAGATGCACAATGTAATTGTCTATCAAATTGTTTTGTTCCATTTTTACCCATCTCTTCAAGTTTTCATAGAAAATGCATTTTCTTCTAATTTAGACCTCATTTATCACTATACCCATGGAATATTGACATTTCAGCTTATTTTTAAAGATGTAACAAATTTTCAAAGGGTACAGATACTAATATTGTCGATATAGTTGGCTTATTTAATTAAAAAATAAAAAAACTGTTATATTTTTTGTTAGAGGACCAATTAATATGATCTTAGTATTCAAACTACATTAATTGACTACGTTGTAGTAATACTTGCTCCAAATACTAAAAAAAAATAATTTTGTGTGGGTATTAGACAGTGTGGTAAAAAGTAACACCTTATAAATTTTATTTCATTTATTGACAAATACTTATTTATAAAAATAGAGACATTCGTTTTCATAACTTATTATTATATTGATTTCTGAGCCAAATCCACATTTATTTAGAATAATTTATTAATTAAAACAATTTAAAATATGTAATTAACTAATTTTTAGTGTTTTTGGTAGGAAATAATGATGGTATATTTAATTGGTATACTCTTTTACAAAGATTTAAATAGTTTTTTGTATACCAATGGGCTTGCAATATTTACCACCAGTACATTTTGTACATATTATGGTGCTATAAAAAATATGAAATGTCAATATTCCATAGATATAGTGATAAATGAGGTCTAAATTATAAGAAAATGCATTTTCAACGAAAACTTGAAGAGATGGGTAAAAATGGTATAATACAATTTGATAGACAATTACATTGTGCATCTGAATCACGTAAAATATATAGGGTGTTCCATTTAAATTAAACAAGTTAATGCCGTTTAAAGCTAGTAATTATTTAATATAAATTTTTGGACACTCTGTGTAAGGTAGTAAATTTTTTATTATTGCAACACAATATCTGATCAATAAATAATCTTCAGTAAATATTTAGTATTAAAAACTTTGATACCCTGGGAGAAATAAAGCCTTAAAATTTTTAATGCAATTTCATAAAATTGAAAATATTTCAAAAACGGTAAGGTTTAAGTGTGATAAACCTTAATCAAATTTACCTTTATTTCAATCGTAGAATCCAAAAATAGAATAATATACAGGGTGTTCCATTTAAAAAAATACAACTATATTTTTTACTTATTTGGGACACTCTGTATCTTGTAAAAATAGTTTTAAATTGTAGCTCTAATAGACCTTCAACCAACCCAAAACTTACAATTTGTAAAAATCTAGTCGTTTAGCTACAATACTCCGTGTCGTATGTGATGAACAACCCTGTATAACCTTTTATACTAAGTATATTAATAATTTTATGAGACATGCGAAATCTTACCATTTTATCAAACACTTAAAATGCATTAACGTTTAGAATAAACTTGGTGGTCTGAATTAAAGCATAGTTATAAATTTCTATTTAAAGATGTTTTATCAAAGAATCCTTGGTCTTGGTTTACTTACACTATTCCATAAAGTAGGCAATGAGAATAATGTTAATTTAGGTTAAACTAGGAAGGGGAATTAATATATTAGCAAGAAAAGAATAAAATATAAAACAAAACATGATTTTCACACTTTCAGATATTAATAAAAAAAATAGTTTTATTGATTTTGCCAGGCTTGATCAGTGTGAAAGCCGCCGATTTCAATGATTTGACTAGAGGTGACTAAAAACCCTTGCTGACACGGTCAAAAGGTACTTAGACCATAGACTTAGACCAAGTCAATCGGATGCTGCCGTTATAAATATACCTATACAGGGTGTTCCAATATTCCGTAGACATTGAACTACTACGTGTTTTTGGAATCATGATAAGTTCATTGGACAAAATTTACCTCTGTACAAAAATGCTTCGTTTGTCCGCTAGAGGGCATCATACTTAAAAAATAAATACATTTAAAAAAAAAACAACGCTTTATTGTACAAAAAGCCAAAACAGCTTCATCGACAAAGCAAAACAAAAAAAGCACAAAAACAAATATACAAATAATACAAAAAATGTCATACAATACAAATCAATTCAAAAAAAAATTTACGTCATAAAATTACAAATAAAACATATATGGACATTGCAGAACACAGGCGTATCTAGAAAATTTTACAAAAGGAAAACTGTAAATGGATAAAATCATGTTATAATAACATAAAATCAAGAGTTATAAAATATTAAATACTAGACCTTTAACCAGTGTGTGAGATGATCAAAATATTAAAATTAAAATTCTAAATTGTTCATGATTAAACATCAACAAAAAAGTCGTTTACCGCATATAGGGCTCTCTCCAGTAAGTATGATTTCAGAGCTTTGCGAAATGCGGGAAAGAATGAAAGTGACTTGATATTCGAAGGCAAATGATTGTACATTTTCTTGGCATTGTACAGTATTGAGCCCTTAACTAGTTCTGAGCTCGGGGTTGGCAGATAAATATCGTGCTCCGCATTCCTAAGTGGATAGTTGTGAGAAGGCCTTTCCGGAATAGAGAATATGTGCTTGCGGATTAAGCAAACGGATTCAAAAATGAATAAGGAAGGAAGAGTCAGTATTTTGAAATTTTTAAAGAAATTCTGGCAGTGAGTTCTACTGTTTAGTCCCAATAAGTATCGAACTGCTCTCTTTTGAAGTTTGAAAATACGATCAAATTTTGTCGCGCAGCAAGTACCCCAGAATGGAAGGGCATAACGAAGATGCGACTCAAAAAGGGCATAATAGACCATTCTAGAGGTTGATGAGTTAAGTTCCTTAGACACTGATCTTAGCGCAAAACAGGCAGAGCTTAGTATCTATGATAAGGCTTCGATGTGCAACTCCCATTTTAAAGAGTTGTCCACAACAAGTCCTAAGAATCTCACAGAGTCCACGACGTCAATAGTGGTGTTATTAAGTACAAAAGGTTGTATAGTACTTTTATATGGCAGAACTTTAGTTTTTGAAAGGTTGAGGCATAGGAGATTAGAATCGCACCAAGATTTAATTTAGCCGACCATACCAACAGGTATGGTAGGTTATTAAGATCGGCAAAAAAAAGTTTTTTTAATTTCACTCAAAATGAGTTATTTGGGTCACAAATCACCTAGCGATCACGACCTAAATACAAAATATTTTCATGGTGTTTGTCTGTCTGTCCGTCTGTAACACGATACCTCAAAAACCGCTAAACCGATTTTAACCAAATTTGGCACAAAAATACTGTGGCACCCGAGAATCTGGCCATTAGTTTTTAATGGGGTTGGGGGGTTGGCAAGGGGCTATGGGAGGGGGTTAAAAATTTTAAAAAATCGTAACTCCAAAATTACAGTAGCTAGCAAAACGTGGTTTTCAATTTAAGATTAGGAATAATATTTGCAACAAAATTTGTAATAACATCAAAAGCAGTCAAAGTCGCAGTTTTTGAGATAAAAAAAAATTGGAAAAATTCCTTAACTTTGAAACTAAAAGAACTGCCTACCAACTTTTTATTAACATATTTTAGTATGGGCGACTATACTTGCCTCCCGGCCAAATCAAACCAATTTTTTCAAATATTTTAAGAATCGTTATTCCGATTTGAATGAGATTTTGGGTGTCTATATTTTGCTAAGTGCTTTAATTTGGTGTTCACAAAAATCAAGAAATAAAACGGGAAGGGTGAAAACTACCCCCACCCCTACATAAATTTTTAGTATAAATATTTTCCAACTCTATCAAAAAAAAAACATATATTCTTTTCGTAATATATAATAGTCCCTCTAGTATTTACTACATTTTTTATCTCTTGTAAAAAAACGCCGCATCGCATAATTTTTGGGAAAAAATGTTTTCGAAGAATTTATTTTTCCAAAGCAAACCTATAAGATATACTGGGAGGTCCAATAATTCGTGGACATAGAACAACTACGCATGTTTGGGTCAAAATTTAGACAAGGAAAGAGAGGGGAAGCGTAATCGACATCTACGGCCAATATCAAATTTTGTGATTTGTCTGGCTCCTAAAAATAGTGTTCGATGGTGTGTTTTTTGTAGTTTGTGTCGTAAAAAGGGGCTTTTTAATGACTTGAAATGGCTGTACAGGGTGTCCCATTTTGGTTGAAATCATACGGTATCTCCGTTATTAGTGAAGATAGAAGGGTGCGGTTTGCACAAACCTGTCTCACTTTTTTGTCAAACGAAAGATGCCGTAAACAAAATTTTCATAGCCCTCTTCGTTTCCGAGCTACAGGGTCTTTTTGAAAGTTTTGCAATTTGGGACACCTCCGGTATCTCTGTTATTGTTAAAGCTATCGAGAAGGTGAAAATTGTTTATTGTAGAACTTTTTACGTAGAATACAGTGGCGTAGTCTGTTTTTCTACCAAAAAATATTTTTGAAAATATGAACTAAAGTTATGTTTTTTTAAATGGAACACCCTGTATATTTATAAATCATATGATCTGTCTTGCCATAAGCTTCTCAAAAATATATATCACTCTATATTTATTTTCACTATTTACTGCAATATTTAAAAGTTTTTATTAAAAGATCATATTTATTAGTAGGCCATGATTGATAATAAAAGAAACTAAAGAATTATTAAAAGTATACTGCTATCTGTCTCTTGTTTTATTTTGGGAGCCGCTAATAAATTCTTTATATATTAGGGAAACTTAACTCTCTACCGCTATTTGTAAATCTTGGAATACGTGTATACGTAAGAATAATCTATCGTATCGGAAATTTTAGATATTCCTTTAGCTAATTTACGTGAAATATACTTTCAGCAAGATGGGGAACATTCCCCCTCATAACTATGGAAATATTAGAATACTGTTAAATTATTATTTTTCAAATCAATGAATTGGAACCAATGAACGCATATTGATAGCCTCCTCGATTCCCGGATTTCGCCGTTCTCGATTTCTGATTTTGGGGATTTTTGAAATACGAAATATATCGTGGGCACTACAACAATGTCGAACACCTGAAAAATGCTTTAATAATTCAAGATTTAGATATTTGCAAACCCATCCCGTTATAAAAAAAAGAAAAATATATTCACAGTTTCAGTAGTAACAGTTATTTCAAAAAATATATCAATCCCAAATAAATTTTAATATGTGTATGACTATTTTAGTAAATACCATTTTGATTTTTTGTTATTTATCACGGCCTACTAATCAGAAAATGATATATTTTAAATATTGCAGTAAATAGTGAAAATAAATATAGAGTGATATATATTTTTGAGAAGCTCATAGCAAGACAGATCATATGATTTATAGATATACAGGGTGTTCCATTTGAAAAAACATAACTTTAGTTCATATTTTCAAAAATATTTTTTTGGTAGAAAAACAGACTACGCCACTGTATTATACGTAAAAAGTTCTACGATAAGCAGTTTTCGCCTTCTCGATACCTTTAACAATAACAGAGATACAGGGGGTGTCCCAAATTGCAAAATTTTCGAAAAGACCCTGTAGCTCAGAAATGAAGAGGGCTATGAAAATTTTGTTTGCAGCATCTTCCGTTTGACGAAAAAGTGGCACAAGTTTGTGCAAACCGCACCCTTCTATCTTCACTAATAACGGAGATACCCTATAATTTCAACCAAAATGGGACACACTGTACACTGGAGTGGTGAGGCCTTCAGTAACATATGCATCCTTGGTATGTAAAAAACCAAAATAAAATTCGTTAAATAAATTGAAAAATTGCAAAAACTACTGTTTTTAGGTATAATATTAAATATGTAAAAAAGTTATAGATTTTTACACGGAATCTAAAAATATTGTATAGACGTATATTGTTAGTCGTATATACTTTTTAGAAGCACCCTGTATATTCAAAAATAATTTTGTATATATCTTAAAATTTCCTAAAACTTTTCTACTTGTTAAAGCGCCTTAACAATGTTTTTACAGCATTTTATTATACGGCAAAATAAAAAAGCTATGGGTAATTTTCAAAATGATCGAAATTTCAAAAAGACTCTCAATTGATTAGGCCAGGTTAGGTTAAAAATATCGACACTATCGACAGGCGGTTTATGACATTAAACTTGTCTCAGAAATCGAACCCATGACATTAATGTCGGTTTTACTCTATCTAATCAGAAAATAGATTTTCTCTATTAAAACAGATCACCCTGTACATTAGAAAATATTATGAGAAATACGGCATTATTCGATTTCTACCGATTTAATTCTAATTAAATTTTTACTTTCTCTTCTTTAGTCAAATTAAAGATTGCCGAAAATTTGTCACGTCCATACGCGTCGTTTCAAATTGGCAATAAAATGTAACGGTCATTATGAAATTTATAATTTGTATTGTTTTTTTTTACGAGTAGCGTTAAGCAATTAGAAGAAAGCCATATAAAGTCAGATATTATTATCAAAATTACGCGTTAGAAACATGATAATACTACAATGTATTCTTAATC